CCCCAAAACCCCAAAACCCCAAAACCCCAAAACCCCAAAACCCCTTGCTAATTAATTTGAAAAGTTTATGAGTAAGATGATATGAGTGGTTTTAAAATTAAAATAATGGCATTTAGACATTTAATTTAGAGAAGATTTTTTTCAGCCACTCATTTGGGGAGTAAGGTTTCTCTCAACACAAAATTTCACAACATAGCTGAGGTGTTCTAGTAAATTGAACTAGAGAAATCTCGAAACCAAAAAATGATTTTGCTATCCTAATTTCTAGAGGACAAGCTGCATGATCGAGAAAATCTAATAAATATTGTGAGATACATGATAGGACAATTTCAACCGAAGTTCAATTAAGAATTTGAGATTAATGTTTCATACATGCTGATCGATAAAGTTTTGCAAGAAACATTTAAAAAGAGTTCTAAGGAAATAAAGAAATTAGTACAGGAAACTGGAGACTATGGAGACACAGCTTAGAAATTATTTTTAGAGGTGAGATAATTCTGATATTTGTTGACATTTAAATGATATGTATAGAAAAACTAAATAAAGACTGACAATAATACGGAATGCTTGGATCTAAAAAGAATGGATGAGATCATTAATAAAATGAATGAGGTAGTTGGAGAAGATAGTGTTAACAGGAAAGCAGAATTACTTAGCTAAATGATTAAATAATGTTAGACAGATCTTGAAATAAAGTATATAATCAGAATGCTATTTTCAGTAAGGCAAATTTTCAATATGGAAAAATTCATTTAGGGATTGAGAATAGGGATAAGTAAAAAATCAGTTGAGAAAGTTCTATTAGATTTTTTAAAGGTCAACAAACTTGATCATGATACGATTTAATATATTGAGGAGAAAGTATTTGGCTATTAAATTCATTAAAGAGCAGCTGATAAGTCAAGTTAAAGCTAGATGAAAGAAATCAATAAAGAAGCTTCATAGGAAGAACAATAATAGTAAAACAATTCATAAAAGCCACTCATTGACACTACTGATTCTGAATATGAGCTAAAGACTGGTAATTTTTGAATAATCTTAAGCTTAAATAGGTATACCAATCAAAGCAATGTTAGGAAGAGCATCTCAAGATTTTAAGGAAAGCTTAAAACTTATGGATAAATTCTTGGAAAAAGAGGGTAAAAATAAATTCCTTGCAGAGTTTAAATACGACGGTGAAAGAACTTAGATCCATTTTGATGGTGAAAAAGTTACTCTTTACAGTAGGAACTTCGAGATGCAAGATAAAAAATTCTAATTATTGAAAAACTAGTTGCAATAGTACTTGTTAGAGAGAAAAAGTAAAGGTGAGATAGACAAATGCATTTTAGATGGAGAGATTGTATGCATCAGCAACAAAAATAATACCTATGTGCCATTCTAAAAAATCTAAAGGTCATGGAAGGACATTATGTCTGATGAATAATTAACAAGAGAAATTGAGTAGAGTAATTCTAGACCATGTGTGATTTTATTTGACATTTTGTCCTTGAATATGAAAAATGCACTCAAGATGCCAATTATAGAGAGGAAAAAAATGTTAGAATAGTCTTTCAATAGTGAAAATATTCCTAATTTCATTTAGTTAGGCCAGTATGAAATAATAGAACTTCCTTAGATAAATGAAGAGAATCTTAAAATATCAGAGGATCAAATAGAAAGATTAATGGCTTTATCTTAACAAAGTCATTGTGAAGGCCTAATTCTAAAAATAGCAAACAGAAATAGTTTTTATGAGACGAGAGGGACCAGATCATAATAGTGGACCAAAATCAAACATAAACTAAACTCTAAAATAACTGGAATGAGAGACTCACTAGATCTTGTTCCAATCGGTGCCAGTTTTGGATTAGGTCTAAGAACAGGAATTCTTGGATCTTTTATAATGGCTGCTTATTCAAAGAAATACAAAAATTTTGAGGTTATTTGCAAACTTGGTACTGGGCTTTCATAAAATGAGATGAAAAGTTTTACAACATAGTTTTTGGAAATTAAACTTGATAGACAACCACAAATATATGTAGCTCCAAAGACTATTCGACCAGATATTTGGATTCCTCCTAAATTTGTTTGGGAAATTGGTTGTGATTAGTTTTCTCAAAGTTCAACGTTTACCATAGGTAGAGGAAAGCTTCCTTCATTAATGATGGAAGAGAATAATTAAAATGAAGTTGAAGCATAAAGTAAAGGGCTTTCAATTAGGTTTCCAAGATTTCTCAGGGAGAGAGACGACAAAAAAGTCACTTCAAATATATTGTCTGGATCATCAATCAACGCTGGAGAAGTTGTCTATGATAGTGATTGTACTTCTGTAGAAGAGATAATAGAAATGTACATGATGGATTATGAGTATAACAAATAGAAATTAAAGGAACTAACATAAAATTGAGCATTTGATTGCTCTATTTATTATTTCTTTATTTCATAACTATTGGAGTTTTTCTAATTAATTATAATCATTGCCTAATATTACATAATTTTTAAATGAAGGGGTTTTGGGGTTTTGGGGTT